CCTAGTTTTCCCCCAAGACTTTGAACTCCTTCCTTGGTACTTCCATCCATCCCCACTAGTTGTCACTTTTTCCCCCTTTCAGTTCTACCTCTAAACTTTAAATCTCCTGATTATAACAAAATACACCTATAATGACCTTGATCTCCCTACTGGAAACTGTAAATATAGATACTCAATCACCCCTCAAATCATTCAGCAACACATACTTTCTCATGCATCTGCCTCCTAACCGATTTAAAACTCCTACCATATCTTCCCACTAAACTTTAAAATGTCCTTCCTCACTGGTTCTCTCTCTGTCTACTACTAACTTTGAAACTTAGCTTACTGTCTCAGAGTTCTTTCAACCTATCCTAACCCCTAACTTATTTTAATCTAATCTTTTTCTCTCATAACCATTTAAAACCTTTCCCCCTGACTTATGGACAAAATCTCTTACCCACCAAATTTTTTAGAATATGTGATTGGGAAAAGTTCCCCACCTGGCTTCTGACTCATTACACACAGACTTGGCAAAACCGACTAAACACCTTTTAAGCCTAACCTCAATCTCTTAGTGTAAGAATGTAACCCAAAATAACAGTCACCCCTATTAAGTTTTTTTCCCGACAGATTGTCTAACAGTAATCTAATACATTATCATCCTTCCTATGATATTATCTTTTAAGCAAAATGATTCCCAAAAACCCCTACTTCTAAAATATTCTACCAGACAGTCAGTATGCCTCTGATTGAACACTTAAAATTTACAACCATGCATCTCTTCCCAACACTGCCATAACAGCATCTTCTAATATTAGTATGTCTCTTTTACTTCCTCTTTGACTTTTATAGCAGAGCTCAATTGATTCCCTAAGAGTAATTAAACTATTTACTACTTCCAATCCCTATCCTAACCTAATTAGTTTATTTTACAGAGTGATATGTTTAACCTTTTTAGACTGAACCCCGATCAGTTTTTCCCCCTATTCACTATCACTTCTAATGGTCAGTTGTTTCAACTGTTAGCTATTTCCTCTTCTTCTCTAATCGATGCTCTCAGCAATGCACCCCTTCCGGATATTCTCGGCACTCTAGAATATTTAGTGTTCACCGGAAGCACCGGTGATCTTCACTTGCTTGTTGATCTTCCTCTGTTTCTTCTTCTCCCAATTCTGTGTCTGTCCAGAAAACTGACAGTCTATATGGAACATCTGGTCCCCCTTGGTTGGTACAATTGCCTTTGATATTGTTCAGTTAAAGCTGTAACAGTGATTGTTGATTTGATTCCCTCTGATTCTTCATAACCAACACTTATTTCCCTTCTCCAACTCTTGGGATTATTTTCTCAGCAGATTTTCTTGATCCTGTTCCTTCTCGTCGTTGACATATCAGTATTCTTCAAAAGGTTATCTTCTAAGTTCTGTTCTTGAAATATCATCTTCCATCATCTCTTACTTTTCTTCATCAGAACTCGAATATCTTGTCTTCTTCTTCGTTCAACTTTCATCCGAGATCAAGTCTCCAGTATCCTTCTTTCCTCTCTTGCCACTTCCTTCTGATCACAGAGTCACCTCCACCCATGGCCTCTCATCAATCACTCTCATCTCATCATCGTCATCTCCTTAAGTTCCCAGACATCTCGGTTTTCTTCAGTCTCTGGATTCATCTTCATCGTTGTTTTCTGCTCGTATTCGTCTTATCTCTGATGACCATAATCACCCTGCTGGGATGATGTCTTTCTGCTGAATCCATGTGAGAAAGGTGTACTAACATCTGCCATTAGTCTCTCCTAACCCTACCTCTAACCCTACTTTAATTAAAAAATGACTATTTTAATCAATTTTCCCCTATATCAAGCCCTTTATATTCCTTTATTGTGAAACTATCCTATTTTAGACTATTTAAGTTATATAGAACTCCCCCCTGTAATTATTAATATAACCCTAACCAACTCCAATAAATCCTGAATAATAACCCAATTTTTATTCACTATATCCTATGTCACCAATATCAATTAGTGTTGAGTATATTACCACAGCCCATCAAACTGTCAGTAAAATGCAAGTTAGTCCATCTTCAGACTAAAATACCCCTAAACAAAGCCTTTTAACCCCCTTGCTCTAACCCCTAATTATCATAAATTTACAGAAGAATCCTCAATCCATCCTGGATTCCCAACACATCTGTAATTAAACCCCAGTGATACACAGAGCCACCAAAATTACAACTTTTAATGAAATAGTATTTGCCAAAGCCGATGCAAAATTGTCATAACATCACATATCTTGTTAGGATGATTTGTGCACTAGCCTGATCTGATCCTCTCGTCTGACTCTGCCTCGTCACACCTTGTCACGTGACGCACGTCAGTCACACGTTAACCCCTCCTCTCCTCCTGTCGTATCGTATCGCTCCACTCATATGACAGGAAAAACAGAGACACAGAATCACATTTTAGTAGTTAATGCAGTCACTGAGTATTTCCAACCATTCAATATTCGTTTGTTCTACATGATTCACTGTAAGACTTTAACTCAGGACTAATTATAGATCGCCCAAAAACCTTTTTATTTTATTTTAATCCGTTATTTAATTATTTAATTAAATGTATTATAATCCGCTACCATATATCTAATTTATAAATTCAATAGGCTACAAAACAAGTTTCATCTTTAACCAATCTTTAAACTAGAATACTCGTGTTAAACTCTCCCTGTGCCTATTTGTTCCGTCGTCTGTGTTCCTCTGTCTGCAGTTTAACCAATGTGTTGTTTTGCAGAATCCCACGCATGCGCAAATATCATTTACTAAATAGATCGCTCCAAACCATTTCATTTAATTTTAATAGTCTTATTTTAATTAATTATACTCCGTCAACATATATTTTGATCTATAAATGTACTACATCTCGCCAAATAGTTTAACGTTCACATAACAGTTACTTTAATAATTTTAAAAGAGTCGTGTTCACCTTTTCCGGTAGCCCTTACCCCTGAAAAGAAGCCTGAAACAATCACATGACCGTACTGGCCACCATTTTGTTCCGTCGCCTCAGCACGACCGCATGTCGAAGATTTAGTGCCGTAAACCAAAACGTGTCATAATCTCGTGTCATAAACTCCCCCTTTCTGTAGTGTAGTGTCGCAAAATTAAACGCATGCGCATAACCATTCAAAAATACTTTTCACCGTGGAAGAAAGATTCTCTCTTCTCTCTCCCCAAACATAATAACAGTCCAGCTGTAATTCCCATTTCCCCCTTATAATCAAACAACATTTACCAGCGCTCACAAAACATATAACCTGACTTACAAACACATAAACAAGTTTAAGAGACTTTCACCCGTCGCAACGGAATCTCTAAGGATATCCGTTAGCATGTAGCACACAACACAATTAACCTGTAGCATTAGCCTTTAGCTTAGCCTAAGGTACACCATAGCATGACAACGATTAACCTGAGCAACGATGTACCACGTGGCCTGAAACCCACTCCCATTTAGCCTCGTAGCATTAGCCTCTAGCTAACTACAGCCTACAACATGTAACAAACCCTGCACTGCCCTATCAATTTTAACATATTTATCCTACCGTTTTTGCTACCGGGACTAATGACCATTACACCGAGAAATCAGACCCAATCAAACGCCCCGTCGGACGAGAGTCAAATCATAATTACAATCAGATAAACCCCATGAATCCGAGCTCTCTTTAAGAAAAGAAACCCACCGTCCACCCATTCTATCGTGTAAACGGATTTGTCGGCCCGACATCTAAAATGGCCCCCCCTGGAGGTCTTAAATGGTACAGTGCCCTAAAGAATGCGCATATCAGAATTTACCAACCATTGACCATAGTTACCAATGAAATAATTTACCAATCATTGTCACCCGTTACCAATGAAATAATCTCAATTATACCGTTCCTTTTGCTCTAAATTTGTCATTGCCCATAGTTACCAATGAAATATAAATGTATGCTCTAAATCCTCATTGCCATCCGTTACCAATGAAATATAAACTTATCACTCTAAATTATCATTGTCTATAGTTACCAATGACATAACATTTTAGCAGACTCCAGTCGACCAGCAAAAACACCACCTGAGGCCAGGTCATATGGAACATCCCCTCAATGTACACAAGTCATATCCAATCTAACAAACTCCGAAGCGGTAAGAACACACTCACCCTTTTTCGGCCATGCTTGAGAGAGAGTTAGGCCGGCGGTTGACTGAAACAAAGAGGAGACGCAAACCCATGCCCCACGTTGGGCGCCATTATGTCGTATATGATGAATGGTGGTAATATTGCTGATGAACAAAAAGTCCGTTATGCTGCATCGTGTCAGAAGTTTTTATTCATACCACGAGGTTACAGCATAAATTCACAGACACGCGTTGCCTGGAGAACGCCTCCCAGATTGTTATGGCCGTTCTGTCGTCTCATCGTTTAACTCCTATTTATAACCAATGCAAAGGGAGGGGCTACTCCCTCTTCTGGCCAATCACCAGTCTCCCCTCGGGCGTCACCCTCCAAGCGGCACATTTCAAATAACATCATAAAACATCCCCCCTTTGGCCTGAACAACCAACATTCCATTTCGTCATGAAAAACATTTAACAAAGGCATAATCTTCAGATACGATACCAACACTTCAGCTTTCATGTTGTGGGACACTGCATTGTGACTGAGTCTGACCCCAGATTAACCATGGTGTTTGTGTGCATATGTTTCGGGTTCTGTGTTGGTGGTCACTAGCTTCCACAGCCACAAAGTCATAAACGCCTATTTCTACAATTTCTCTTCTTAAAATGTGATTTTAAACCTAACCTTAATGCTAACCTTATGCCTAACCACATTTTTGTTTTCATGAATTTTTACAATATAGACAATTTTCACTTTGGCTGTGGAATCTAGTGGAAACCCTGTGTTGGGGGTTGCAGAAGATGAATTTCCATGATCTGAAAAAAAAGTGGACACAAGTATAGGCTACTTATTCTTCTTGATTGTCATTTAGCCTCTCCTTATGGAAACATTATGAAGGTAGAAACAAGTGGTGCTTCCTGGAGGACAGCAATCGCTGATTGGAAACATTTCAACGGTATGTGCTTTCAGGCTATTCACTCACAAATATTCAAAACAATATCCAGTATTAATCAAATTCATATAATCAATCAAAAAGCTATCATTTATAATTTTCTTTACTGTTTTCCTAAAGGGGTGCCTGCATCTCACAACATGGCAGAGCATGACCTTGCTGCCATGAACAAGTACAAGGGTCTCATAATGAAGGTGGCAGAGAGGAATGCAGTGGACCCAGCTGTCATCTGTGGCATCATTTCAAGAGAGTCCCGGGCTGGGAAAGGACTGGACAAGCATGGCAGGGGGGACTATGGCAAGGCCTTCGGGCTTATGCAGGTAGGCACATGTTTGACAGAATAATGAGTAGCTTCATATTTAATTGAAATTGTATCTTATTTATTCACTTCCTTAGGTCAAATGTTGATATTATATTTGATAATTGTTCAATAAAGCTAAAATTGAGCTCCTCATTATTTTCCAGATTATCCATTCTTGTTTCGCCACATTTACTAAGTGAATTGCATTTTACTGTACAATGTAAGTAGTGTCTAGGGCTGTTGCGGTGACCGTATTACCGCCACACCGGCGGTCACGAGTCATGAAGGCAGTCAAATTCCACGTGACCGATTAGTCACGTTAATTAGGCTTCTCCAAGCTGTGATGCTGCTGATGGTCATTAGTAGCCTACCAAACTTGCTAACTGCCTGGTACTCAGCACTCTATTGTCCCTCTAATCACTCCGACATCAATGCAAATGTTATTGAAAATCGAATCAAACACTTCATGAGAGCCCATGAGCTCATGTTGTGCAACATTTATATAGGCTATGCAATTGCGCGAGAAAACAGAATGATGGCCTCTACTAAAAAGAGGAGGATCCCATCAGCTTTCTATAGGCTAGGCCTACTATATTTATTTCTCAACTTTCCTAATATTAAGCACATTGTTTATCTTTACAACAGGAGTATAGCCTACCTGGCTGGCATGAAAATGAACCACGGGAAAAGCGTCCTCCATTCGCTTTAAGTGCAGAGATGATATGTATTCCTTCCCGCTGCCCCTGTTTTGAGACAGGTGCATGATAATGGTCCATTCTAAATCAAAACAAATTTCACACATATATTATTTAGTATATGTAAAGACAAAATTAAATCAAGAATAGTCTAATGGGTAACAATATTAGCCTATCACTTGTGAATGATATATTATCACTTGTGAATGATGCCCAGCATAAGAAACTGGCTTTTTTTTGCGACTTTTTCGAATCATAGTCCACACACCTAATGTAGCCTAGCCCATAGGCCTATATGTTTTGATAAAGTTTGTATCATAACTAAAGTGGCCAAATAACTTCTTAAAATGAAGCACATTAATCCACTTTACAAGGGGTTTAGAGCCTAACTGGCATACTTAAGCAACGCGTGAGTTTCAAGTTTGGGGAAGATAATTTTCACCATAAAAATGCACTTTTATAATAAAAGCATTACATGCATAATCGCATTTGCGGTCACTTTTGATAATGGTGTTTTCCCACTAATGGAACATTCGCGCTTATAGCCTACTGCCATGTGCGCATTGCTGCGCTTATGATGTGAAGAAATAGCCTAATAGTTTATCAACATTTTAAGCTAAATGTTCTGATCTGTTGCATAGAAAATGGCGCCGGTGGAAATGGCTGCCGTTTTACGGCCCCCTAAACAATTGTACTATTATGGGTGTTTTTTTCTGTACATAATGTTTCTGCCACTGTCTCTTATGACCAAAAATAGCTTCTGTATATCAGGACAGCGATTACTCACCTCGTATTGGACGAAGATTTTTTCTTCAACGAGTCGGACGTGAAGGATATTGTACAGACACCCGACAAGGCCCAAATCCCCGTCATTCGCATGAGAAAGAGACAGAGATATTGTGGACGTAGGTCGGGGTACCTTGTAAGCATCCGACGGCGATCGAGTAATCTGCCTCTTCCATCAGTCCTATGGAAAACAAAATAGACAACCTACTATCACGGATGTCCTACCAACGGGACATTTCACCTTTATTTAACCAGGTAAGCCAGTTGAGAACAAGTTCTCATTTACAACTGCAACCTGGCCAAAATAAAGCAAAGCAGTGCGATAAAAACAACAACACATAGTTACATATGGGGTAAACAAAACATAAAGTCAAAAATACAACAGAAAATATATATATATACAGTGTGTGCGAATTTAGTAAATTATGGAGGTAAGGCAATAAATAGGCCATAGTGCAAAATAGTTACAATTTTGTATTAACACTGGAATGATAGATATGCAAAAGATGAGGAGCAAATAGAGATACTGAGGTGCAAATTAGCAAAATAAATAACAATATGGGGATGAGGTAGTTGGATGGGCTAATTTCAGAATGGCTGTGTGCAGGTGCAGTGATTGGTAAGCTGCTCTGACAACTGACGCTTAAAGTTAGTGAGGGAGATAAGAGTCTCCAGCTTCAGAGATTTTTGCAGTTCGTTCCAGTCATTGGCAGCAGAGAACTGGAAGGAATGGCGGCCAAAGGAGGTGTTGGCTTTGGGGATGACCAGTGAGATATACCTGCTGGAGCGCAGACTACGGGTGGGTGTTGCTATGGTGACCAGTGAGCTAAGATAAGACAGGGATTTGCCTAGCAGTGATTTATACAGTGGGGAAAAAAAGTATTTAGTCAGCCACCAATTGTGCAAGTTCTCCCACTTAAATAGATGAGAGAGGCCTGTAATTTTCATCATAGGTACACGTCAACTATGACAGACAAATTGAGGGAAAAAAATCCAGAAAATCACATTGTATGATTTTTTATGAATTTATTTGCAAATTATGGTGGAAAATAAGTATTTGGTCACCTACAAACAAGCAAGATTTCTGGCTCTCACAGACCTGTAACTTCTTCTTTAAGAGGCTCCTCTGTCCTCCACTCGTTACCTGTATTAATGGCACCTGTTTGAACTTGTTATCAGTATAAAAGACACCTGTCCACAACCTCAAACAGTCACACTCCAAACTCCACTATGGCCAAGACCAAAGAGCTGTCAAAGGACACCAGAAACAAAATTGTAGACCTGCACCAGGCTGGGAAGACTGAATCTGCAATAGGTAAGCAGCTTGGTTTGAAGAAATCAACTGTGGGAGCAATTATTAGGAAATGGAAGACATACAAGACCACTGATAATCTCCCTCGATCTGGGGCTCCACGCAAGATCTCACCCCGTGGGGTCAAAATGATCACAAGAACGGTGAGCAAAAATCCCAGAACCACACAGGGGGACCTAGTGAATGACCTGCAGAGAGCTGGGACCAAAGTAACAAAGCCTACCATCAGTAACACACTATGCCGCCAGGGACTCAAATCCTGCAGTGCCAGACGTGTCCCCCTGCTTAAGCCAGTACATGTCCAGGCCCGTCTGAAGTTTGCTAGAGTGCATTTGGATGATCCAGAAGAGGATTGGGAGAATATCATATGGTCAGATGAAACCAAAATAGAACTTTCTGGTAAAAACTCAACTCGTCGTGTTTGGAGGACAAAGAATGCTGAGTTACATCCAAAGAACACCATACCTACTGTGAAGCATGGGGGTGGAAACATCATGCTTTGGGGCTGTTTTTCTGCAAAGGGACCAGGACGACTGATCCGTGTAAAGGAAAGAATGAATGGGGCCATGTATCGTGAGATTTTGAATGAAAACTTCTTTCCATCAGCAAGGGCATTGAAGATGAAACGTGGCTGGGTCTTTCAGCATGACAATGATCCCAAACACACCGCCTGGGCAACGAAGGAGTGGCTTCGTAAGAAGCATTTCAAGGTCCTGGAGTGGCCTAGCCAGTCTCCAGATCTCAACCCCATAGAAAATCTTTGGAGGGAGTTGAAAGTCCGTGTTGCCCAGCGACAGCCCCAAAACATCACTGCTCTAGAGGAGATCTGCATGGAGGAATGGGCAAAAATACCAGCAACAGTGTGTGAAAACCTTGTGAAGACTTACAGAAAACGTTTGACCTGTGTCATTGCCAACAAAGGGTGTATAACAAAGTATTGAGAAACTTTTGTTATTGACCAAATACTTATTTTCCACCATAATTTGCAAATAAATTCATTAAAAATCCTACAATGTGATTTTCTGGATTTTTTTTCCTCATTTTGTCTGTCATAGTTGACGTGTACCTATGATGAAAATTACAGGCCTCTCTTATCTTTTTAAGTGGGAGAACATGCACAATTGGTGGCTGACTAAATACTTTTTTTCCCCACTGTAGATGACCTGGAGCCAGTGGGTTTGGCGATAATAATATCTTATGTTTCACCGAGTAGTGGCTGAACGACGACACGGATAACATACAGCTGGCGGGGTAGAATGGCTGACTCTGGTAAGACAAGGGGTGGCGTTCTGTGTATATTTTTAAACAACAGCTGGTGCACGAAATCTAATATTAAGGAAGGTTTTGCTCGCCTGAGGTAGAGTATCTCATGATAAGCTGTAGACAACACTATTTACAAAGAGAGCTTTCATCTATATTTATCATAGCTGTCTATTTACCACCACAAACCGATGCTGGCACTAAGACTGCACTCAATGAGCTGTATAAGGCCATAAGCAATCAGGAAAATGCTCATCCAGAGGCAGCGCTCCTAGTGGCCGGGGACTTTAATGCAGGGAAACTTAAATCCGTTCTACCTAATTTCTACCAGCATGTTAAATGTGCAACCAGAGGGAAAAAACCTCTAGACCATCTTTACTACACACACAGATACGCATACAAATCTCTCCCTCACCCTCCATTTGGCAAATCTGACCATAATTATATCCTCCTGATTCCTGCTTATAAGCAAAAACTAAAGCAGGAAGCACCAGTTACTCGGTTAATAAGGAAGTGGTCAGATGACACAGATGCTAAGCTACAGGACTGTTTTGCTAGCACAGACTGGAATATATTCCGGGATTCTTCCGATGTCATTGAGGCGTACACCACATCAGTCACTGGCTTCATCAATAAGTGCATCGATGACGTCGTCCCCACAGTGACCGTATGTACATACCCCAACCAGAAGCCATGGATTACAGGCAACATCCGCACTGAGCTAAAGGGTAGAGCTGCCGCTTTCAAGGAGCGGGACTCTAACCCGGACGCTTATAAGAAATCCCGCTATGTCCTCCGACAAACCATCAAACAGGCAAAGAGTCAACACAGGACTAAGATTGAATCGTACTACACCGGCTCCGACGCTTGTCGGATGTGGCAGGGCATGCAAACTATTACAGACTACAAAGGGAAGCACAGCCGCGAGCTGCCCAGTGACACAAGCCTACCAGATGAGCTAAATCACTTCTGTGCTCGCTTCAAGGCAAGCAACGCTTTAGCATACATGAGAGCATCAGCTGTTCCGGATGACTGTGATCACGCTCTCCGTAGCCGATGTGAGTAAGACTTTTAAGCAGGTCAACATTCACAAGGCTGTAGGGCCAGACGGATTACCAAGACGCGTACTCCGAGCATGCGCTGACCAACTGGCAAGTGTCTTCACTGACATTTTCAACATGTCCCTGACTGAGTCTGTAATACCAACATGTTTCAAGCAGACCACTGTAGTCCCTGTGCCCAAGAACACTAAGATAACCTGCCTAAATGACTACCGACCCGTAGCACTCACGTCTGTAGCCATGAAGTGCTTTGAAAGGCAGGTCATGGCTCACATCAACACCATTATCCCAGAAACCCTAGACCAACTCCAATTTGCATACCGCCCCAATAGATCCACAGATGATGCAATCTCTATTGCACTCCACACTGCCCTTTCCCACCTGGACAAGAGGAACACCTACGTGAGAATGCTATTAATTGACTACAGCTCAGCATTCAACACCATAGTGCCCTCAAAGCTCATCACTAAGCTAAGGACGCTGGGACTAAACACCTCCCTCTGCAACTGGATCCTGGACTTCCTGACAGCCGCCCCCAGGTGGTAAGGGTAGGTAACAACACATCTACCACTCTGATTCTCAACACAGGGGCCCCTCAGGGGTGCGTGCTCAGTCCCCTCCTGTACTCCCTGTTCACCCATGACTACATGGCCAGGCATGACTCCAACACAATCATTAAGTTTGCCGACGACACAACAGTGGTAGGCCTGAACACCGACAACAATGAGACAGCCTATAGGGAGGAAGTCAGAGACCTGGCCGTGTGGTGCCAGGATAACAACCTCTCCCTCAACGTGATCAAGACAAAGGAGATGATTTTGGACTACAGGGGAAAAAAGAGGGCTGAACACGCCCCCATTCTCATCGACGGGGCTGTGAGCTTCAAGTTCCTTGGTGTCCACATCACCAACCACTATCATGGTCCAAACACACCAAGACAGTCGAGAAGAAGGCATGACAAAGCCTATTCCCCCTCAGGAGACTGATAAGATTTGGCATTGGTCCTCAGATCCTCAAAAAGTTATACAGCTGCACCATCGAGAGCATACTGACTGGTTGCATCACTGCCTGGTATGGCAACTGCTCGGCCTCCGACCGCAAGGCACTACAGAGGGTAGTGCCTACGGCCCAGTACATCACCAAGCTTCCTGCCATCCAGGACCTCTATACCAGGCGGTGTCAGAGGAAGGCCCTAAAAATTATCATAGACCGTTCTCTCTGCTACCGCACAGCAAGCGGTACCGGAGTGCCAAGTCTAGGTCCAAAAGGCTTCTTAACAGCTTCTACCCCCAAGCCATAAGACTCCTGAACAGCTAATCATGGCTACCCGGACTATTTGCATTGTCCCCCTCACCCCACCCCCTCTTTTATGCTGCTGCTACTCTCTGTTATTCTGACGTAGACTACATTTTCTTCATATCATGCTTCTTTAGACCTGTCTAAAATAAATAATGGATTTATTGTGAAGGTGTAGGCTATATTACATGGATTTATTCACATTTTTAAAATGTAGATGTTCCAAAGGTCTGCATCAGTGGCTTGTAGGCTATGTGTGGAAGCCAGGAGATGCTAAATGTGTTTATCACCGGCTGACTAAAAGCCCTAGTGGTGTCCATTGATTTCTATAAAATATCACACATTTTTACAGATTGACACTACCCCAAGCGGTGGCGGCAACACTCCAAAGGGGGAATGGGACAGTGAGGAGCATCTCCAACAAGGCACTGAAATTCTGATTGAGTTCATCAAAAGAATCCAGAAAAAATTCCATTCATGGACCTACGAGCAGCAACTGAAAGGTAATCATGTTTTTTTTCTGAGAGTTTTATAGAAATAATGAATACACCTATTTCAATTGAATATGCAACTATTGCAATATGTTGTTTACCCAGGGGGAATAGCAGCCTACAATAAGGGAGAAGACTGTGTAGAGTCATATCAGGAAGTGGACGCTAAGACCAATGGAGTGGACTACTCCAATGATGTTGTTGCCAGAGCTCAGTGGTTCTACAGACATGGTTACGGTGAAAAAAGTAAATAACTGTTATAAACCGTTATACACATGTTAAAAATGATAAATACACCAAATAATAATTACATTGTGTGGTTAAACTTCAAACAGTCTCATCCAAGTTTCTTGTGGAGTTGAATCTTTCAGCAAACTCTTATGGTTGATGCCAAACATATTCACAAACAACATAGTCAGTTTAAAAAATGCTGATGCTATAATGTACTGAAAATCAAAAATGGTTGTTCTATTTTCTTCCCTATTTAGGAAACGGTGGCATTATAGTAGCAGCAACAGCTGTAGTGGGAGCAGGTATCATCATTTTATCAGCATTAACATTGTACTTTATCAAATAACTTTTGATAACTTTTCACAATTATATAAATGTAAAAGTATCATAGGAATGCCACATTGTCAAACTCTTAATGAGGTTGGCTGAGTATTAAAATGTTTGTATGCTTGGCCTCACAGTTTGTGCTGTTGCCCTGGCACCACTAGCCCTGACAGCGATCGGGTTTGGTGCTGGCGGGATTGTAGCTGGATCAACAGCAGCAAGCATGATGTCTGCCGCGGCCGTAGCCAATGGAGGTGGGGTAGCAGCAGGGAGTCTTGTTGCTGTTCTACAGTCAGCAGGTAAAGATCAAACCAAAGATAAACAAAGATACAATATTTCAATGCCAATGAGTTATGAGTAAAACCATTAAAAGCTAAGATAATGGCGGGGTTTCTAACTGTTACAAACTCATATGACTGAACAGAATGGATCATAGATTGTTTTTTGCTTTGTTTACTTTCATGTATTGGATATTTGTAGATCTCAGATGTGAGAGAGACCGTGACAGACATTGTGTGGTCTTCCTCCAGGTGCTGTAGGGCTCTCGTGGATGGCCACAGCGATTGTGGGAAGTGTGGGAGCAGCTGTTGGAGGATCTGTGGGATGGCTGGAAAGAACGTTTTTTTAAATGTTCCATAGAGGCGTTGAAGAACACATGTCAGTACTGCAATACACCCTAACACTGTTGATACTGCGTGCTTAAAGTATTCTACTTGTGAACTGAATTTTTTAAATTCCATTGCAATTCTGCCGTTATGAAAAACAGGTTTTCTGTAGGAAAGTCTAAAGTTCTCTGTGAGGATTGTTCCTAATTTTGTTGAAATGAGCTCAGTGGTTCTACAGCCATGGTTATGGTGAAAAAAAGTAAACAACTTATTAACCTTTATAGACATGTTGAAAATGATGAATACACCAAATAATAATTACATTGTGTGGTTCAACTTCAAACAATCTCATCCAAGTTTCTTCTGTAGTTGAATCTTTCAGCAACTTGTCATTGCGCAATATAATTAAATATTTGTCTTATTTTAGAACTTTGGGATTGGATGTGTTGTTTTAGTTGACTGTCTTGGTGGGACTATGCCTGGTCTATAATACATTAGCATAGCGTGGGCAGTGTGTCACGCCCTGGCTCTGGGGACACTTGTATGTTGAGCCAGGGTGTGCATTTCATTTGTTTATCTAGTATGTGTATTTCTATGTTGGCCTGAGTGTCTCCCAATCAGAGGCAACGAGTGTCAGCTGTCGTTGGTTGTCTCTGATTGGGAGCCATATTTAAACTGTCTGTTTCCCATTTGTGTTTGTGGGATCTTGTTTCAAGTCTGTTTATGTTAGACCGTGAACTGTCACGTATCGTTTGTTGTTTTGATCGTGTCTCTAATTAAAGAGTATGTTTGCCTGCAACGCTGCGCCTTGGTCCTCTGTTCATGACGATCGTGACAGAAGATCCCACCAAGACTGGACCAAGCAGCAAGTCCAGGAGCCAGCGCCTGAGAGATCTCTAGCGGATCTCCTTCGCCTCCTCGACTGGGTCAAGCCATGTGAGGAGGAGAGGGGCTTGACGTGGAGGCAGAAGGGCGAAAGGCTGGCGAGGAGCATGGAGACCTGGTCCACGGGTAGGAGTGAAGCCCATACATTTTTTAGGGGGGGGCTAACGCCGTGGACGACGGGGCAGCAGGAGGCTGCCAGGTTACGGGAGTCACTGGTCACCAGGGGGAAGGAGGATGTAGAGGCACGGCGAGAGGTACTGGCGTGTGTTGCCAGTCCGGTTCGGCCTGTTCCTGATCCCCACGTAGGGCCAGTGGTGTGTGTTCCCAGTACGGTCCGGCCTGTTCCTGCCACTCGCACCAAGTCAGTGGTGCGCTTCGTCAGCCCGGTCCGGCCCGCTCCTGCTCCCCGCACCAAGTCAGTGGTGCGTTTCGTCAGCCCAGCTCGGCCCGTTCCTGCTCCCCGCACCAAGTCAGTGGTGCGCTTCGTCAGCCCGGCACGGCCCGTTCCTGCTCCCCGCACCAAGTCAGTGGTGCGCTTCGTCAGCCCGGTCCGGCCCGCTCCTGCTCCCCGCACCAAGTCAGTGGTGCGTTTCGTCAGCCCGGCGCGGCCCGCTCCTGCTCCCCACACCAAGCCAGTGGTGTGCGTCGTCAGTCCGGCACGGCCCGTGCCTGGTCCACCGGTGGCTGGTCCAGCACCGGTCAGATGCTTCACGCCGGAGCTAGAGCAATCCGCTCCACCAGTGTGCAGTCCAGCTCCGGCCAGCGGGGCCAGACCGGACCAGGGGTACTTTGGGGGGTTGGAGAGGGAGCGGGGATCAGGCCCGGAGCCGGATCCGCCGCCTAAGCGGAGTGCCCACCCGGTCCCTCCCCTGTGGTGTTTGGTGGGCGCGGTCGGAGTCCGCGCCTTTAGGGGGGGGTACTGTCACGCCCTGGCTCTGGGGACACTTGTATGTTGAGCCAGGGTGTGCATTTCATTTGTTTATCTAGTATGTGTATTTCTATGTTGGCCTGAGTGGCTCCCAATCAGAGGCAACGAGTGTCAGCTGTCGTTGGTTGTCTCTGATTGGGAGCCATATTTAAACTGTCTGTTTCCCATTTGTGTTTGTGGGATCTTGTTTCAAGTCTGTTTATGTTAGACCGTGAACTGTCACGTATCGTTTGTTGTTTTGATCGTGTCTCTAATTAAAGAGTATGTTTGCCTGCAACGCTGCGCCTTGGTCCTCTGTTCCTGACGATCGTGACACAGTGGTATGCCAGCTCAGTGGTATGCCAGTTTTACTATGCATAGCTCATTTGTACCCTCAAGGTAATGATCACAATGGATCGCTGTAATTCACCATTACACAGACCTAACACCATAGAGATCATATTATATTCTTCAAGTATTCTAATTTTATGCTTAACACACCATTTTATCACAGTGAGGATGGTGGAGCTGTGCTTTATGGAGCCAATAGTACATTTAGTCTATGAGCAGCTCAGAGGTTGTTTTGGTCTTTAATTGGAATGTGAAGCTCTTTAATGTTCTCTTTAGCAGCTACAGCATGGGGCACACCCCTCTGTACATGGGGAGATGTCATGAACTACACTGAATTTAGAAAACACTGACACGGTCAGATGGCTTATTACAGCAGTATTTTATGATGGTGGTTGTATTATGTTTTTAGTATACTTAGATATGTGTGCCGTTTTTACACTGCTGCAACTGAATTACTCAGCAATGGGCAATAAAGAATGTTTGAATAACTGCTTGACCTGGGCCGGAGCGCCTTGACGGCACCTCAATTTTGGGGGTGAATTGTGTACCGGCTCCTCTATAAAACAAAGAAGCCTAATGCCGGCCCAGATTCAAACACTGAGGCAAAAAAGGTTGATCAAAGCGGAATGAAGGAGGGATCTGCAATGGAGAGTGGGCATTCATTTCCTGATTCCACTTTGCTAATCTTTATTTGCTGCTAGTCTATGGCCTTGTTCGAGAGCATCAAAACGACTGCAGGCGACTGCCGACTGACGGATCTACAAATCACCTTTCATCATAAATAACGACTTATTATTTGTAGATCAGTAAGTCAGTCACAATTTACCCATGATACATTGCGGTTTGGATCTTCTCGAACACGGCCTGTGAATCTGTGCGTGACACTACACTACCGGTCAAAAGTTTTAGAACACCTACTCATTCAAGGGTTTTTCTTTATTTTTACTATTTTCTACATTGTAGAAATCTACATATCATCTGAATGACCCTGCAGTGAGTGTCTGTGTGTGCTGCGTGTATGCCATTGCGAGTGGGCCAATGGCCAAGGAGATAGCGCAACATTTCAGCAGCAGGTATAAAATACTAAGTGTCAACATTTTACTAGTGTGAAAGTGGCTTTACTGTACTGTTCATTCTTAAATCAGGGTGTGCCTTTATTCTGTGGCCATTATCAAACAAAGGAGAGCAACACCACTAAAGTAAAGGGCATTCTACAGAGAGGCAGTCGATTAGAACACCATACACATTCTAAACCAGTGCATGATGTACAGTGGGGAAAAAAAGTATTTAGTCAGCCACCAATTGTGCATGTTCTCCCACTTAAAAAGATGAGAGAGGCCTATAATTTTCATCATAGGTACACGTCAACTATGACAGACAAAATGAGATTTTTCTTTCCAGAAAATAACATTGTAGGATTTTTAATGAATTTATTTGCAAATTATGGTGGAAAATAAGTATTTGGTCAATAACAAAAGTTTCTCAATACTTTGTTATATACCCTTTGTTGGCAATGACACAGGTCAAATGTTTTCTGTAAGTCTTCACAAGGTTTTCACACACTGTTGCTGGTATTTTGGCCCATTCCTCCATGCAGATCTCCTCTAGAGCAGTGATGTTTTGGGGCTGTCGCTGGGCAACACAGACTTTCAACTCCCTCCAAAGATTTTCTATGGGGTTGAGATCTGGAGACTGGCTAGGCCACTCCAGGACCTTGAAATGCTTCTTACGAAGCCACTCCTTCGTTGCCCGGGCGGTGTGTTTGGGATCATTGTCATGCTGAAAGACCCAGCCACGTTTGATCTTCAATGCCCTTGCTGATGGAAGGAGGTTTTCACTCAAAATCTCACGATACATGGCCCCATTCATTCTTTCCTTTACACGGATCAGTCGTCCTGGTCCCTTTGCAGAAAAACAGCCCCAAAGCATGATGTTTCCACCCCCATGCTTCACAGTAGGTATGGTGTTCTTTGGATGCAACTCAGCATTCTTTGTCCTCCAAACACGACGAGTTGAGTTTTTACCAAAAAGTTCTATTTTGGTTTCATCTGACCATATGACATTCTCCCTATCCTCTTCTGGATCATCCAAATGCACTCTAGCAAACTTCAGACGGGCCTGGACATGTACTGGCTTAAGCAGGGGGACACGTCTGGCACTGCAGGATTTGAGTCCCTGGCGGCGTAGTGTGTTACTGATGGTAGGCTTTGTTACTTTGGTCCCAGCTCTCTGCAGGTCATTCACTAGGTCCCCCCGTGTGGTTCTGGGATTTTTGTGATCATTTTGACCCCACAGGGTGATATCTTGCGTGGAGCCCCAGATCGAGGGAGATTATCAGTGGTCTTGTATGTCTTCCATTTCATAATAATTGCTCCCACAGTTGATTTCTTCAAACCAAGCTGCTTACCTATTGCAGATTCAGTCTTCCCAGCCTGGTGCAGGTCTACAATTTTGTTTCTGGTGTCCTTTGACAGCTCTTTGGTCTTGGCCATAGTGGAGTTTGGAGTGTGACTGTTTGAGGTTGTGGACAGGTGTCTTTTATACTGATAA